GTTGAATAAAAATAATTTTGGTTGAATATGAAAAGAAAATGTGTGTCGTTGAACATAAATATGAAATGTTGAATATAACTGTAAACTGTTGAATAAAAATATATCTTGTTGAGCATAAATATTAGTTGTTGAATATAAATATGCAAGTTGTTGAATTTTGCAACATTTGGCTAACCATAGCCGGACAACTGTATATATCCGTCAGCAAAACGTTTCACAGTCGTTATTTCAAAAATTATACTCTGTTTCTGCATGAAGAAGGAAGAAGAAAATCCTTGAAAATCCTCTATTTGCTAATTTAGTTTTGCCCGTGTCAATGCCACGGCTTAATTAGAATCTTGTGGCATTAATCAGCTGAGCCGACAGTGATAAATTTAACATGTATTGATGTTCGTTCCAATGGCAGGCGTCTCTCAATCCTTAAAAAAATAACCAGCCAGGCAAAATTCTCAATTTTCCAAAGTTAACCACCATTCGTTTTCTTGTAAACAATAGCACCGAGACATGTGCAATGGAGTTATCCGCTGACAAATTTTAGCGAGATTGGTTCATCGCCGTCATGTGATTTTTCTTGTCAGCAGGAAGTAGCTTCCCCCTCCACCTCTGGGTTAACTTACCAAAGGCAAAGCAGGTAAAATTGAAGTAATAGAAGGGGTTGAAAAGATCACTGTGTCTTTTGTCAATGTGAGTTTTGTTGCCGATTGTAGGTTCTGTTTATGAAGTGCTTGGTGTAAACCAAAACCGAAGAAGAAAAAAAAATGAAGCGATTCGCCTTTAAAATGGCGGCGGTTGCTCCGATAACTTTATCAATCGGAAAAAAAACATATGAATGGCTTGCTTCGGATCAAAAGGTAGGTAGTAAATTTAAGATAAAGTCATTTAGAGATGTAAAGTAAATGGTTTCAGTGGAACTTATGTATTTTACTTCAAAGAAATGTAAATAGAGTCCTTTGTACTGTATCGAATCGTCAGGAAGAAGAAAATGAAAAGATAAGGTTCGCTCCTGAACTTGAACAATTAACGGGACAGTTGACTTTCAAACTCTTACAGTATGTTTGTTACCGACTATAAGATTTTACGCCGTAAGTTAACGGCGTAAAATCTCAACGTAATTTATTTTACCGGCTGAACGAAATTACGCTGTCAGTTATGGGGGTTTCCTTTTACTTTCTACCTGAAGCGTGTTTGGGTGATTTTGTTTCTCGTGACTCCTATCTGACTTTTTCATTATTCGTGAATCGTGGTTAGAGATGATAAAATATTTTCATGTCCACGTGAACTAATTTTTTTTATCTAAAACGTGACTCGGGAATGAAGAGCTCTGCAAAAAATACGTGATTCGTGAACCATTTTGTTTTATACCTGCAATAAACCAAAATCAAAGAAAGGCGATGCGATTAGTCCTCAAAATGGCGGCGGTTGTTCCGCTAGTCTTAACCATCGGAAAAGAAAAACAAAAAAAAACCAATGAATGGTTTGGTCGCGCCTCGGAACCTCAAAATACAGTAGGTAGTAAATTCAAGATAAACATTTAGAGATGTAAAGTAAATGGTTTCAGTGGAACTTATGTATTTTACTTCAAAGAAATGTAAATAGAGTCCTTTGTACTGTATCGAATCGTCAGGAAGAAGAAAATGAAAAGATAAGGTTCGCTCCTGAACTTGAACAATTAACGGGACAGTTGACTTTCAAACTCTTACAGTATGTTTGTTACCGACTATAAGATTTTACGCCGTAAGTTAACGGCGTAAAATCTCAACGTAATTTATTTTACCGGCTGAACGAAATTACGCTGTCAGTTATGGGGGTTTCCTTTTACTTTCTACCTGAAGCGTGTTTGGGTGATTTTGTTTCTCGTGACTCCTATCTGACTTTTTCATTATTCGTGAATCGTGGTTAGAGATGATAAAATATTTTCATGTCCACGTGAACTAATTTTTTTTATCTAAAACGTGACTCGGGAATGAAGAGCTCTGCAAAAAATACGTGATTCGTGAACCATTTTGTTTTATACCTGCAATAAACCAAAATCAAAGAAAGGCGATGCGATTAGTCCTCAAAATGGCGGCGGTTGTTCCGCTAGTCTTAACCATCGGAAAAGAAAAACAAAAAAAAACCAATGAATGGTTTGGTCGCGCCTCGGAACCTCAAAATACAGTAGGTAGTAAATTCAAGATAAAGTCATTTCGAAACTTGGAGTAAAAGGCTTATGGAGCTTATGTATTTTACTTCAAGGAATTGTAATTATAGTCCTTTGTAGAGTGTCGAATCGTCAGGAAGAACAAAATGAAAATATAAGGTTCGCCCCGGAACTTGAAAAATTAACGGGACAGTTGACTTTCAAAATCTTACAGTATGTATGTTACCGACTATACGATTTTACGTCGTAAGTTAACGGCGTAAAATCTTAACGTAATCTATGGTTGAATGTTACCGGTTGATCGTTACGCTGTCAGTTACGGAGGTTTCCCTTTACTTTTTACCTGCCGCGTGTTTGGGCGATTTTGTATCTTGTGAATTGTGATTTGAGTTTTTCATTATTCGTGAATCGTGATTAAAGATGATAAAAAAATCTTTTCATGTCGACGTGAACTAATTTTTTTTATCTAAACATGACTCGTGAATGAAGAGCTACGTAAAAAACGTGATTCTTGAACCATTTTGTTTTGCGTGATGAATTTCCGGCTGTTTAATTGTTTTGAAAATGTACATATTGTTCTCGATAAAGATACAGACTGGATCGATAAAGATACAGACTACTAATCATCCATAAAAAGAGAAGATGAGGCACTACCTAATATTTTGTCATAGATGACCAGTCGTGAGTTTTTGTTTTTTTTTATGTATGTGAAACGTGATCGTCTCGAATTTCGCGCAAACGTGAAATGATTTTAGATATTATTTGTGATGCATCAAAAGGCCAAATAGTTTTAACTAAGTTTACAAAGGAGTATAGGGGACCCTCTCAACAGCGTGAAAGCTTACAGTTTGTAAATGAACATGCGAAAGAAATAACGCCGTTAGTTAAAAGCGTAAAATCTTGCATAATGAAATATAATTACCGACTGAAAGAAATTACGCCGTTACTTAATGGTGTAAAATCTTACAGTATGTATACAACCGACTGAAATAATTTACGCCGTTAGTTAACGGCGTAATTCAAAATTGCATCTTGGCGTACCCTATTCTTTTAGCGTATTTTGAACAATTAAATTTTTTTAATCTCATAATTTGAATTATGAAATGAAATATGGGACGAAATATGTTTACACATAATGAAAGCTAAATGTGACACGAAAAGCATATTTATCGCAGCATAAACTGGTTAACATACTTGATTTTCCCTTGATTCTCTGTGGTTGTCGAAGGCTCCATGACACAGCTTTTTTCAAATTAGACCAAATTTAGGCCAATAAAATCTTAATATGTGGCTATGGTACATCCTTTGTCAGTAGGAGCGGCCTCCACTCCTCGCCTTTGACAACTCAGCCTTTCATTACATTTCCTGCTTTTAAATACGACTGACGAAAATTTTATGAGATGANCTTTGGGTAGGCTACCCAAAGATGTAGCTGGCCTTGATTTTCCACCTTTGTTTCCCTTCAAGCTGCCACTGGCAGGATTGATAGCCCATATTTAGCACAACAACTGAGAATGAGTAATTTACTACCAAATTGTTTCTAGAATCAAGAGTTAGAAGACAGAATAAGTAAATAAATGTACATGTTCTAACTTTTCCTTTTTGAAATTATTAGTGTGGCCATGCTATGCATATCATGGAGGAACAAGTTTGACCTGCCCCCAAAACTATAATTACTCTGATAATTGTTTAGTTAATGAAAGTATTCTGTTTTCAACAAAATAGTACCTGGTGCTTTACTGTTCGTATACAGTGAAATTAACTACCTGTACTTTGCTTTATATGAAATTTCATAAACCTGCAGAGTATAGGTATGAGCTGGTCTACATCTTTGTGGAAAATTGGTTAATCACAGAATGGTAGCCTGCAGAAACCTTGTATTCTCAACTGCAGAGGCCTTTTCCGTGGCTTTTGTCAGGCCTGGTTAAGTTAGGAATGAAGACAATTTTCCCTACGACAGCAATGTAGAGCTATTGATATTCATGGATTGAAAGCAATTTTTAAAAGGAAAGGTAAAGACTTTTTCAGCAGAACAAATTTGTTTGGGTACAAATCTTACAAGGCGGATTGTAAGTCTTAGAGAATAAATAAATAATAATGGTCTTTATTAAAAGCAATAATGCATCAACCGTGTCATTATTTACAAAGAATGAAATATAAAACAGATTAAGGTAGAAAATACAACTAACTATTAATGGCAGGCAATGCTAAAAAGACATCCATTTACAAAAGTGGATTTAAAACGTGAAGTATGAACTCTAGGTAATATATAATCTAGGTAATAAATAGATAACGAAGAAAATCAAAACAAATGTAACTCACAGAAAGTTCAATCGTTGCATGTTCTCGAGGTCTAGAAAACGCGAGTTGAGAACGAACGGAACGAACCAAGTTACGATTTCACAACACTCGCCCTTTGGGGACTTGTATTTATGTATGTATGTATTTACGAATATTTATACAGGGTAGCCCAGTTTAGAATTCTTGGAGACATGGCTAGCTGAAAAGTGTTTTCCATATTCTAGGAATGGCACCCGGGGCAATCCTTTTTCATGCCTAATCTACGTCGATACTCCTTTCGGCTGGAGGTTTGAGCATAGTTAGTAGAGGGGACTACTAACTATGGTTTGAACGATGTAGGTGTACGAATATAATGCCATCCATTAGCTTTCGTAACTATTTCGTTTGGCCTGTGTAGCGATATTTCAGCATTCATATTAAAGAATAATTGCTCAATCCTGCATAACTTAACTCTAGGGTGCCATTTCCGGCCTCATAACGGCGATTAGACTCTCCCAGAACTACTCAAGCTCAACAATCCCCGTCACATTTCTTGGTTTAAGAGCTTGCGAAAAAGTATAAGGGATAATATGACGTCACAGACTAACGCGCGGTCATTTCGCAGTTTGAGTAATGGCAGACGTTGAATCGAGGAAAACAAGTCTAAAAAAACAGACTTTCACTTCGAATTTTCATTCCAAATTTCGTGAGAGTGGTAAGTACCCGGTAAGGATTCTGGTCTCAGTAGCACTTTAAGCAATAAACTACACTTTCTATCGATTGTGAGAACTTACGTTAAACTAATTTAATATCGCTGTAAGACCTTATCAAGTTAAAAGCGATAAAAATTGAAAGGCAACAACATCGAACCCCGAGCACCATCCGGTTATGTTTACTCGAGGCCCAAATTTTCCTTCAGCCAAATTAGTTCCCACTGACTCAGCTTTAATTTCAAATTTGAAGCTTTCGTGGAGTCCTCCCGAAATTTACAGAAAGTGCTTAAAACGCTGAAACTCGGCAAAGAATATCCAACATGAGCTGAAGTCGCGGACAGCAAACGGAATTGCCACAAACCTTGAGTGCTCATTCTTTTAGGGGAAAATTTATGTGTTTTAGTTTCGGACAATGTAAAGTATTTTTCGGTCGTGTAGTTCAAGTTTTGCTATAACTCAAGTTTTATTTTCCCGGCTTCGATCTCAGTTCAGTTCAGTTCTCGTGTTTTGTTCGTTCTTTGACACGACCGGCAGAGCTGTAAAGAATGATGAATGAATTGGTTCTATTCAAATTATTCTACCATTGTACAATTTACAAATTTGTTGTCATTTATCATAAAAATACTAGTTCGGGTTTCTCGTGGGCTTTGGGACATATTTTAGTCGTAAACGTTTCATATATAATAATTTC